GTCAGGACGGGATTCCAAGCTTCCATCTGCAGCCCAGACGTGAACCCTGAATCCCAGGCTCGTACAAGCCAACAACCACGTGATGTCTGCACCGGAATCCTGACCAGCACCCTGAAACCAGCCCCACCCACAGTCTTCTCCATTTGACTTGATGACAGGTCCATTCCTCCAGAAATTCAGGCCCAACGCTTCGACATCATCCTCAATTCCTGTTTCTCTTTCTTGTCATTTAGTTTTAATTTCATTATCCTAAACTTAGCCCTTGCACCAACACGGCCCCGAGGACGTGTCGTGAGAGCACGAAGGCACAGAGTGGTGCCAGCAGCTGGGGGCGGGAGGGGTGCCCTCCGGAGACAAAGCACAGACCAGCCTGTCAGCGCTGTCCACGCCCTGCAGTGATGATGTTGCCGGTCTTGCCATGCCTGGACCCGAGGCGCTCCATGGCTTCCACGACATCTGTGCCCTCTTTCACCCTGCCAAGGACCGCCTGCTTGCCATCCCAGCTGGGCAGTGCAGATGAAAACCTGGGGACCAGTTGTGCTGTGCCCAGCATTTGCCATGGGAGAGATGTCAGGAATACATTCTCAACATCAAATTTCTCCCTGTAGATGGACGTTCCCCAGTCCTCAGAGCATGCAAGTTTTCTGCTGTCTTGGGAACTTCTACAAACAGCTTGAAGGAGGTGCGGCCCAAGGGCTCAAGAGCACAGTGGGCTTGACCATGGCTAGGCAGCACAGGGAGGCTCTGGGTGTCTGTATCTGCAACCTCCTATCCTGCCTTAGAAATTCTGTCGGTTCTGCCTTATTACCACCCCACTGCTAGTGAACACCCCGGGCTGATGCATCGTTGTATTGCAATGGGTTCCTGGCTCCCTGGGCCCACCTACAGTTTATTCTCAGTACAGTAGCCAGGGTGATCATGTTAAAATAAGTTAGACTGTGGGGGCGCCTGGGTGGCGCAGTCGGTTGAGCGTCCGACTTCAGCCAGGTCATGATCTCGCGGTCCGGGAGTTCGAGCCCCGCGTCAGGCTCTGGGCTGATGGCTCAGAGCCTGGAGCCTGTTTCCGATTCTGTGTCTCCCTCTCTCTCTGCCCCTCCCCCGTTCATGCTCTGTCTCTCTGTGTCACAAAAATAAATAAACGTTGAAAAAAAAATTAAAGTAAGTTAGACTGTGTCGTTTCTTTCTTTTTTTTTTTAAAGAAGATTTTTTTTTTTTTAAGTTTATTTATTTTGTGAGAGAGAGGCAGAGAGATAGAATCCCAAGCAGGCGCCACACTGTCAGCACGGAGCCTGACGCAGGGCTCGAACCCACAAACTTCAAGATCATGATCTGAGCTGAAATCAAGACTTGGACGCTCAACTGACTAAGCCACCCAGGCACCCCAGACCATGTCGTCTCTTGGCCTCAAACCCTCTGGGGGCTCCCGGTTCCAGAGTAAAAGCCAGAAGGACCTCCAAGGCCCTCCTTGCTCTGGCTCTGACTTTGGCTCTATCATCTCCAGGCTCTGGCTCCTTCTTGCTCACTCTGCTCCAGGCACGCTGGCTTCCTTGCTGTCTTTTAAACCT